CCTCCTCTCCTCCTCTCTCTCTCTCTCTCTCTCTCTCTCTCTCTCTCTCTCCCTCTTCCTCTCTCTCTTTCTCTCTCTATTAAATGTCTCCGCTCCGTCTGTAATCCATTAATCTCGCTCTCTCTCTCTCTCTCTCCTACTATTTCTTCTTTCAACTCCGCTTTCAAAACTCTTTCTTTTCCCCTCCTTTTTCTTCGGCCACTTTCAGCTCACTCGACTCCTTTTCCTCCTCTCATTTCCGCACTTTGATTCCTTCCATAGCCCTCTGGTCTCTCCACATCCGTCCCTCTCTCTTTCTCTTGTATGTGCTCGGCGTAGAGAAAGCCCGGGGAGGGGGATTGAAGCAGAGGCGCCGGACATGGGCAAGTACATGCGGAAAGCCAAGGTCTCCGGCGAGGTCGCCGTCATGGAGGTCTCCCATCAGTCCACCCTCGGCGTCCGCACCCGCGCCCGGGCACTCGCCGCCGCGGCCGCTCAGGACTCGTCCCGCACCTACCTCGAGCTACGGAGCCGCCGCCTCGAGAAGCCCCTCCCGCCGTCTCCCGCGTGCAAGCCGTGCAAGGACGCCCCCAGGCCCAACCCTAGGGGGAGCTCGCACAAGTCTGGCCCGGCTCCCAGGGCGAATTCGGGGTCGGTGGGGTCCGTCTCGACGAGCAGGTGCCCGGCGGCGGCCATCATGTTGGCGCCGGCTGATGCAGAGGTATCGTATGGGGAGAATATTCTGGATGCCGATGCGAGAGAGAGGTGGGTTCTGCTCGAATCATAGGAAAAATAGAACCTTTCTAGCTAAAATCCGGGGTTTTGCTTTTGTTCTTCCACTCCTGCTTTCTTTCGTCTGTTTTCTCTGTTTCTGTCGTCCCTCTTTCTTCCATCTCCTTCCAAAACCGGACCATATTTAGTTACTTACAATAATTAATGTACACATATATGTTTCTCTCATCATCTTTTCACCTTTTCGGAAATCATAGCCTGTGTTTTTTTGTGTGTTTATGAGTACTTTGTGACTCCAATATAGGTTATCTCTACGTGTTGAGCTTAAATACTGCATGCTAACTTGGTATCTCTATTTTCCGCAAAGGGTGTCATATAGGAAGAAGTTATCCCTCTCCTTCAAGCAGTGCATTCATCTCTGCAAAGTCCCTCTTTGACGTCAGCGTTCCCAAGCTCGAAGCTTGTTTTCCTCATTTTCTTGGCATATACAAAGCTTTTTATGCTTTCTCGAAATGTAGGTTCTACCCTTACTAGCCTTCTCACATGAAACTTCTCTTCGTGCATAGAAAATATTGTGCCATGGGAAAAAAAAAGAAGTCATTTTTCCTTCTTTTTTCTATCTGGTAAATCTCCCATGAAACTTCTGTTCATAGAAAGTTAACGTAGTAAATCCTGTGTTTTACTAATTCCTGGTCATACAAAGTGTTCTGTTCTTAAGCTTCTTGTCATTATCTATTTTTGCACCGCCGAGACTTTGCTTCTGGTGGGACGTACATTTTTCTATAGATTGCCTGTGCCTCTTCTCTTACATGTAGATATCTATGAGAATCTGCACTTGCTTCATTGTCATTTCTTGCTGGTGGTCTGTTTCTTGAACATGAGTGCTGTACGTGTTACTACTACCCAGTGCAGGCTAAGCCATTCTCATATTCGTGTTCCTCTTTTATTACTGGAGTTATTATTGATGACCGGACAATTTTCTTTTCTGTGATTTTGGTACTAGTAGGGCATTCATTGTTCTGTTTGTCATTTATGCCTCCAAGTGGATCTTCTGTCATTGACAGAACTTGGAATTACTTCCATTTTATTTTATTTTATACTTCTTCAGTAGTTATTTGGTTATTTGATCTTCTTCCTTTCACATTTCTGTCTTGATGTTTGAAAATGTTCCACCAGTGTAATCCCTGCTAGTGGTAGACAGATTTGGGCTGTTCACATTCAGTTCCTAATGTCAGGTAAAGTTCTTTTGCGAAGCAAAGTGCATACAGTGGACAAGATTAGGCACATTAGTCGTAGAGCTACCTTGTTTATAACCATGGACATCTATATTTGACATTTGATACAGTAAAGCTTGAGCATTGTCACTGATAAATTTGGTGCTGGTTAACTGTCTTTCTGTAAGGCTTCTTAAGAAGGTTAAATATGAGAAGACATTGTGGTCACTGCTCACTGCATGAATGGGGGATGGCTTCATGTTAGAGTTCATGTCAATGGACAATATAGAGCATGGTAGGAGGAGAAAAATAGAGAACCATACTGAGTTAACTTGGAGATCTTACCCCACATTTGAGTCCACAGTACATCAACTGGTCCATCTTAAACTTAGCTGATGTTGACTGAAGCAGTTCTGGATCAATGATTTTTTTCTGTGCTGACTGTTTGATGAGTTTGTTGTCTAGTGACATTAAATAAGTACATGCATGAACCATAGTTTGAATATTGTTGCCTGACAGTAGTAGGTGTCACTAACAGAGTTGTCTGTATTTATCATGCAGGATATGTCCAGTATTTGTTCTCCCTTGCTTGTCTATTTTGTTCTTAATGCATTTTACACCTTCTATCAAGTCTTTTTAGATCTGACTTGTGCAAGTAACTTGGAACTTGTAATAGATATCATGTTGCTTCTTTACTATTGCATTCATGCATAAAGGCAAAACCTTGATGACAATCTATTTTTTCTTATTTTCACTGCATTTCCTTCTTTCATCTATTCTCTTATTTGCATCTTGAGCTGATCAGGCTGGCTTTGCGCTATATATCGAAGAAGAATTTAGAATTTCTAGACAAATTCTCGTTGTCTTATTTTTGGCAATATTTTATCAGAAACATACAATTTGAAGGTCCTTAGAAGTTTTTAATACTCAGTGCAAATAAACTCTGTAACTCTAAATTCTTTTTTTGATGTTCTAGGGAGACCACACCTTGCAGTCTGATAAGGGATACAGAATCTATAGGGACCCTGGGTTCAGCAAACAGACCTACTATTTCTACTAGAATGCAAACTTCTCATCAGAACATCCCTACCGCTTATGAGATGGAAGAGTTCTTTGCTGGTGCAGAGCAACTCCAACAACAAACATTTATAGAAAGGTACAATTCTTCTTTCATTTTTTTTCTCTGTTATCAAGCCTTGTTCATGAGAACATCAGGATCATCATTAAAATAGAACCGAGCTTCTGATACGACACCACGTTGTGCATGTTCCTCACCGTTTATTTTCGTTCACTCTCGATCGTATGTCCAGGTACAACTTCGATCCCGTAAATGACCATCCGCTTCCTGGCCGGTATGAATGGATAAAAATTGACTTCAAGTAGGCAGATCTTTAGCCGGGCATGACTTCCTCCCCGCATTCTCTCCTGTGATCTCTGCCCAGAGTCTTGGAAGGAGCACGGGCCGCAATGTTACGGATCGCAATCACCATTGGTTATCTTCTGTTGTAGAAGTTGAAAGGTCCTGAAGATAGGTGCAGTCTAGAGTTGTGTAACATAGAGAGCTGATGAGATGCTCTTCGATGCCTGAACCTGACAAACTTCATGCTTGTTGTAACTCTTCAACATCATGTCAAGGTATCATAGGGGTCATTGATCTGTGAATTTGTCACTAACAATAGAACCAACTCATCATGGGACTCTTACTGGGTTAGATGAATACGGTGCTGCATCTGATTCATTTGTTTGGATGATTCGTCCATGCTTCCTTCTGATGGACTTATGTGTTGACGGTGAAACAAAGTTGGTCGTGTGGCAGATCTCCGTCTTATGCTATTATACTTGGTGTCATGTTCTCATAAGAATTAATTTGTATACTGAGAAAATAATATCTTGCGTTAACTCCTTCAAAAATTTATTACACGCAGCTGTGTATAAATATGTTTTAATATAATCTCATAACTAATTATCACATTTATCGACTACCTAACTATCATCATGCACAAGTCATAAGAATGCATTCGTGTAATATTATTTATAAGTATAATTAGTTATACAGACTTGTGAGTCGAATATTTGATGGACACTCGAATATCGGATCAAGTTATAAGTCTCATAATTGTCACTTGCATTACTGCAACATAATATATATATATAATATAATTATTCATGCACATCGTCATCATCTTGACATAATCGGACACTCGATGGTATACTCTTCCAACACTAGATAAAGAGGTATCACTGAGTTCATCTCTTGACAGATAGAGAGAACTTATATCACACTTCCAACATTAGATTGAGTGATATCCCTCGTCTACCACAGTATGAACGTGTTCCTCACAATAACAGATGAAGGAATTATCTAGCTATCACATATAATAGCTCGCTAATCCCTAAAAAGAATCACTACTAATCCTCCTACGGTTGATAGGGATCATCTAAGTCCTTTTATCATATCAAAATTACATGTTATAACATATTATCATATCATCATCGTATTATTAGCTTAATCAATTAGACATATAATCAAAAGACAGTATATCATATGAGGATGATATAGGAGATTTAATCCAGTAATTACTTTTCATCGCATGATGGGCTCGAAGCGAGGCACAACCATGTGGACATCTTACATCAAACCTTAGTGGATCAATCGTGCATCAAGTATGCATGTGCATAGTAGATCAATCGTCTGTATGTCGATCATGCATCAAGTATGCATGTGCCTATACAAGATTACATAAATACATCAATAGCGATATAAGAACATAGATCATTTACTATGCATTAAATATATACGTGCATATGCAAGATAACGAAGTGCCATTCATGGACTCGTGTTTGGTGAGACAAAACATATGCAGGTGGATTTGTGCGCTCATTCTCAAAGACAATGTCATAACTCGCTCATGGGCCTATACCTGCAAGAGATTCAAGCCCATGCATGAATGTTTAGCTACGTGAAACCTGAGAATGTGTCATTCTATAAGCATGGACACTTAACTATTCTAGTGCACATAGCAACTTGTGATCTCATGCTTGATGTGGGCTACAAGAAGATTTGTTGGCATTCATTAGGCTATGCTAACTTATCACTTGCCATATGGACCTCTAAGCTTGAGTGTAAAGAGTAAGCCTGGGTTAAGGAATGTCCAGATTGGGTGCGTATATCATGAATCAAACTTGTGCCTAAAGTTTTTGTAGTTAAAATCTCATTTACTTGTGGCCACTAAGTCTATGGAGTTGAACACTATGATCATACATGTGGCTAAGTTCTTAAGGGGTAAAATGACCAAGAGGAAAAGCCCCAGTGCGACTCCATGCAAGTTGGGATGACCCTGTGGTTGGTCATACATCCCGCTATGGGTTACACCAAATTAGACCTTAAGGTGAGCACAACATGAGGGATGATTTAATTCATTGTCTATTGGTTAAATACTAAGACATATTTACATTTAGAGTAAGAAGTAACTACTATAGTATAACCTTTAAGTAAGAAGTAACATTTAATTCATTGTCTTTTAAGTAACCTATCCATAAAAGATGTATCTAAAACCAACTACAGTATAATACTCTCAGGCATCATAACAGATCTGGTGATAGTAACTTAATTTATTTATGCATGGATGTAAAAATTGATGATTAAGTGAAGATGAAAAAAAAAAAAATCAAAGAACAGTATTACACTAGAAATGTTGAGATATATAAATAAGATTAAAGGATTAATTTAGAGTAAAAATCTTTTATTTTTATCAATCCAAATTAAACTCATATTATGTTGTATAAAGTTTTAACACTGAAACTATCTTAAGGAAAAAAAAACTTCATATGAGACTTATGAGATTAAACTTAAGATCTCATGATAACCTCTTAAGCAGTTCTAAACCAACACCTTATTGTTTGGCCTTACTCTCCCCCTTACCAGCATAATATTTTTTCCTAATTTTGCACCTCTTCTATCTCATATGCTTAATCCTTTCTTTGTTGAAGCCCAATAATCTTGGTTGTAAGGAAGATTGAGATAAAAAAAACCTAACCCTTCCTTAAGTATACCTAGGGTTTTGGTTTCTTAGCAGTTTGTAGATTAATTTTTCAGATACTTTTGAGCAACTTAGAATTCGATTTAATTTCTAATTTTTGGATATATCATGTATAAATTTATTATAATTTTAAAGGCTGTGATATTGCTTTAATATAAGATTGGTATGTAAAGTTATAGATATTCCAATTTGATGTGTTTAGAATCCTCTATTTTCATTGAAAGGATTATGTTTAAGTTGAATTGATACTCAAAGATACTATTAGCCCTTATCCTTTTGTTGTATATCCCATAGGTTCCGAAGACATTAGAATTGAATGAATATCATATTTATATACCAAGAGCCTTAGAAATTTAGGTAATCTCAAACTAATTTCAATAGAACAAAGTAGGAGACGATAGTTGAATTATGAAGATACTTTAGCCTCCGAATAATTATGTTTTCAGCTAAAATTTTATATATAATTAGTTTTCTATCTCTTGAGCTCTAGTAAAGTTTTATGATAATCTAAGATGGTTTGATTAGTAATAATAATAATAAAGTAAGATTTTTTTATAAAACTATATTGTTGTTTGATTAGTAAACACTATGTCATGAATTATAGATTGTGTTGTTGGGGAATGTGTGTAAGAATTTGAATATGTTCATAAGCTAAGTGTAGTCTATTTGGAGGAGATTCTTTTCCTTACGAATTGTAGTTTGCATGAAGAGCGAAAACTTCATTTTAACACAAATCATGTAAGTAAAAGCTTCATTTACTGGAAAAATAGTGGTCATATATATCATGTGAAATGAAAATATATTTTGAACAAGATGCCATGAGTTAGCTATAAGTATGATATTATTGTATGCATTTCATAAGAATTGTAATAAAAATATATAGCATATATATACATATTATTACGTGTGATGTGAGAGTGCACATATATGTTATCACATATGGTATGAGAATACACGAATAGGAGATGATACATGATGTGTGTATATGTCATGACGTATAGTGTAAGAGTACACATATATATTCTGACGTTTGGAGTGGAAGTTCATATATATATATATATATATATATATATATATATATATATATATATATATATATATATATATAGGAGTGTAGTATAGGAGCGTATCTATATGTCATGATGTGTGGTGTACGAGTGAATGCATATAAATATATTACAATATATAGTATGAGAGTGCATGTATATATTATGATTTATAATGTAAAAATATAGGTATAAGTTACAATATATGATATAAAAGTTCATGAATATATTTTAATTATTATCGTAGGTACTGTAAATTATTCTTTTATATGTATATATATGTGTGTTTATATATATATATATATATATATATATATACATATACATATATATACATATATATATATATATACATATACATATACATATATACATA